AGGGAGCAGGGCTTTAATTGCACCTCCGCTGAGAGCACACTGCAGGATCAAGGCTGAGGGAAAGGGCAGCCCGGGCTCGAAGGTGGGGGGGTGATCTGGGGTGGGGATTCGCCTCTGAGTGCACTCTGGTTTTCTTCTCCCACTCGAGGTAAAATGGATGGGGCTGGAGAGCATCTGAGCTGTTTGGAGATGGGGACCAAGTGACAGCGGGTCTTGCTGCAGGGATGTGAGTGGTTACGGTGTTTGGGAGGGCTCCAAAATTATACAGCACCCTGGTGTCCCTGCTGGCTGTTGATTTGGCAGTGAACAGGAGCCAGGCCGTGTGCCGAGCCGGGCCGGGCCGTGCCATGCTGTGCCGGGCCGTGCCGAGACACTGCAGCCTTTCCTGCAGGGACACACCCCGGACACGGCTGGAGAATGAGAACCTTTCTCCAACCACGCTCTTCACTTGTGTTTTTTTCTGGTGCCACGAGGAGGTGTATGTAAAAGTATTTCCAGCTCCGTCCAGTCCTGTAAGTCCCAGGAAAGAGGACCGGTGGCCTGGCCAAAGAGAAATGTGCATCGGATTGTATTTTATTGTTGTCGGGTTTTTTTTCCAGATTGTATTTCTAATCCCTCACCATACTCCTCTGAACCCGGGCAGGTTATTTTGCAGAGCGTTCAGGTCAGGCTTTAGCTAAAATTCAGCCGGCGACTGCAGGAAGAGCTCTGCGGAAGGGAAGGCAAGGAGCTGCCGCGGTGATCCCCTTCCCTCCCCCGCAGCAGTTCATGAGGTCTGAGTGTACAGACTCGCCCTATAGGGACCCATTTCATTGTGTCCGAGGCCTGCAGTGCCGCTCTGGGACGGAGCAGCGCCAGCACTGGCCCCGGCTCCTGACACCTTTCTCTGGAGGAACAGCGCTCGGAATCAGCGCGTCATCGCCGCCCCCCGAGTATTTACGGCAAAGCTGCCAAAGTAAACGAGCCCACTGCATTTTATTTGGGATAAACATAGACCGGCCGCGGCTGCGTGTTGCTTTCCGAGGGCTGGGGGCCGAGCGGAGGTTGCGGCTGGAGGAGATGGAGGCGCCTGGGAGGAGAGGGATGCTCGGACCTGCAGTGCCACAAGGAAACGCATCGAGAGGACGGAAGTCCCAGCGGTGCGGTGTGTGGGGCTGCGGTGCGTGCTGGCCCCACTCCCTCCTGCACAGCACCCACGACCACCTTTGTCAGCCCTGCACGCAGGGGTGCAAGGAGACTCCCCGGCTTTCGCTGCTGGATCACGGATTTGCGGTGCACTCAGCTCACAGCCCCCCCTCCCCGGGGCGCGCACACCCACGGAGCCTCCCCTGCACGCATACGGTGCTCACAGCACGCACACACGCCTCGGAGCGGCTCCTGCAGGCTTGGGAGAGGACGTGTGGGCTCCGCAGTCGCGCTGCCATTCTTTTCCTCCTGCCTTCTCCCTCCAGCTGGCTCTTCGGGCTACCGGGAGAGGCTTACCGCACGCCCCGATCCCTCGTGCAAACGCTAAAAAGTTGCTTAGGAGGGCGAAATCTGAGCGAGCGGAGCTCTCGCAGCCGCTCAGCAACCAGGACTGCTCTGCTTTCCCTCCGGCCTGCATTGAACCAGGGAAAAAGCAGCGATGTTTCTGGCTCGGGAAGTGGCCAGGGGTGCTGCGGACCCGACGAGCCGCTCCCCCCGCCCCGGCCTTTGGCTCCTGCGCTCCGAGATTAGAGAGCCGCGGGCCGGGGAGCCAGCGGGGACCTTTCAGAGCTCTTTGAAGCGCCAAGATAGTGTCGGCCTTGGCGCAGCGCGGCCTGCAGACGGGCCGGGGGCAGGCGGCTATCTCGGCGTGCTATCACCCGGCCTCCCCCCACCACAGCCCCGTTCCCACCTCCGCTCTGCTCCCCGGCCCTCGCCCTGGTTTTTTTTTTTTTTTTTTTTTTTTTTCCTTGCTCTCTTTCCTCCCCTCTCGCTCTTCGTTTTTGCTGGCTTCCTTATTTATTTATTTCCGCGCGTCGCTTATTTATTTATTTCTGGGAAAGAGGCGGCTAACAGGTAGCTGGAACCACTGGCCAATATTTAACTAAGATGGCTGGCCATCAGGTCCCCTTTTGTTTGCTTGCAAATTAATCATCCAGCACGCAGTCGGCGCCAGGGTAGATTTATCACACACAGGAGGGGGAACGAGGCGGCCGAAGGGAGACAAAGACTGTTCGCACCTTCCCGCTTTTGATCTTAGATTAGTGCAGCCTCCCTTCATAATACGAGTCTCCAGGGGGCTTCGTCGGGGAGGTCACTCGGAACTGGCGGAAGTTTGCACGCCATCAGCCAGACGCTGACATTGGAAATCATAAGCTGCGAACGCTTCATTTCCCTCCGCGGGCCGCCGAGCTCTGCGCAAAGTGCGGGGCGGGCGCGGAGGGCACCAACGGCTCCGGCCTCCACCGCGGCCCCGAGGGCGCGTACCGGCGGGGCGGGCGCGGGGAGCGGGGCGAGGCGGCTCTGGGAGCGGCTGCGCCTGTCCTGCGAGAGCCCGAGGGCACCTCCCGGTCCCTGGCAGACAGCTGCGGCCTGCTTGGGGCAAATTGCGGCCAAGTTTCTCCGAGCTGTTCCGCCAACATACAACAGCTTATTCGGGCGTTTGTTGTGGGTTCCGCAAGGGGAAGGTTCCGGGGTTCCCGTTGCGGCTGCAGGCAGGAGCCCAGGCCCTGGTTCCGAGCAGAGCGCTCGAGAATTCTCGCTCCCTCCGCTCCGCAGCCGAGGCGAGCGCTGCGCGGGCAGCTAAGCTCTCGGTTCCTTGAAATACATCACGCTTCCCCCCCCACCCCCGCCCTTGTCTTTTCCCTACATCTTCTTTGAATGCATTACTCCCGCTTCCTTTCCTCCCTCCTCCTCCCTTCTCCTTTCCACCCCCACCCTCGACCGAAGGGGAGATATTTTGGTGAATGCAAAGCGATCCTAGACGCTGGTTACTACAGGGACTTCACCAAGCTGGCGCCAAGCGCTCTTAGCCATGTGCGTCAAAAATGCAATGCTAGAAGAGCTAATCACTTTAGAGGTTCCGCTCCCATCTGCGCGCAGGCAGCTCTCCCCGCTCCCCTCCCGTAGGATTATCAACCCCTCTTTTAAGGCACGACGTGGGGAGCGGGGAGATCAGGCACCTCCTGGCACCGCCCGAAACGCGCGTGTCCTGCGCACCCACGCCCCCACCCGACACGCACGACCACCCGCAGACGCGCGCCCACGGACGCGCACTCCCCGCACACGCCGACACTGGCACGAGCCCCGACTCGCTGGCCCCGCACTGTCACCCACCCCCCACTCCCCGCCCCGGGAACACGTTTCCCCAGAAACTCGGCAGGCGGATCGGGGCAGACGGGAACCCACGCGTGGGGCTGCCCCGCGGGGAGAGGGATCGAGAGGGGGGATCGGGCCTGGGCCCCCCGCCCGCCGCTGCCCCGCACCGCGGCCCGGCCGCGGGGAAAGCCGCACTTCCCGTCTCCTCCCCGTGCACCTCATGGAAGAGGAGGGGTGTGGGAGCGTTAACCCTCTCGGCGCCGGGGCCAGCCGAGCGGCCGCACTCCTCCCATCTGCATAGAAAGAAATAACCCCCTTTTAATGTTTTATTTTTTACATATATTTCAAGTCCTATCTTATTTTTTTAAATTTTTTAGCCCCTCCCAGTTGGGGATGGTGGGGGGGGAAGGTGCTTTATCGTCCGCAGGCGATCAGCAGCCGCCGGGCTGGGGCTGAGCGGAGCGCGGCCCCCGGCTGCCCGCAGCCATCACCCCGCGAGCCGGGCCGAGGCGCACAGCCGAGCCTCCCCCGAACCGCTTCCCACCCCCTGGTCTCGGTCCCGGATACGGGGGGGTCGGGATGGGAACGGCCCGAGGTCAGGCCTGGAGCTGTTTTCTGCATTAAAAGGCAGCGACTTTCCGGAGGGGCGGGGGGGGGGGGGGGGGGAAGGGGCCCCGAGTCGGCGGGGGGGCCGCGGGACCCGGCGAAAGGAGCGACGCAGTGGGGACGGGTGTGCGGCCCGAGGGGCTCCGGAGCCCCGGGGCTCTGGGGGAGCTTGGTGGGGGGAGCACACCGAGGTTCCCGCGGCCGCCTTCCCCCACCGGCCACCCCCACGGGCCGAGCCAGACCTCCGCTCGGTGTGGCTGAGGTGTGGTGGGGGCACCCGGGGCTGGACCCCCTGTTCACCCTGCCTGGAGGCCGCCTCCATTCCCCACCCCCCTACCCGATCCGCCCCCGCCGCCTCCCTAGCTCTGCCGGGAACCGCAGCGGCGGGAGCTCCTACCGAGCGCCGGCAGCGCCCAGCTGCCATCTCGCCAGGGCCGGGGCCGCAATCCGGGCATGGAGGGGCCGGGCGGGGGGCGAGGCGGCCCCGAGAACCCCCCCTAGAGGCGGCTCCCGGCCGCCCGGCCCGGTGCCGCCTGCTCCCTCCCCTCTGATCATGTTGACATATTCACACGGCACGGAGTACTAGTGATGCTTTGCTGCAGCGTTACAGTTTCCGACACCTTCTTTTTATAACTCGGCTCTGTCCCCCTTCCACTCGACCTGTCAAAACCACGCCTATGGAGCCACACAATTGGTCCGAAAGCGTCAAAGAGCCAATCAAGGAGGCTCCAGCTCCCTTGTAACCCACAACACATCCATACAATCTGGTGCACGCAGAGCACAGACTCACAGGGAATTCTCAGAGCTGAGAGGCTCCTTCTCTCCCTCTCCTCTCTCCTTCTCTTTCTCTCTTTCTCCCCCCCTTCTCCTCCTTTTTCTCTCTTTCCCTCTCTCTTCCTCCCTCTCTCCTTTGCTGGAGCGTTGCTGGAGAGGAGACAAGAGTATCATTCTTTCAGATTTATTTTCTTTTTTTCTTTTTCTTTTATATTTATTTATATACTTTTTTTTTTTTTTTTTTTTTTTTTTTTTTTTTTTTTTTTTTTTTT